TTTCATCTCTTGTTTGATCCCTTTTACAAATTTAATAATATTCAATAATCCAGATATAATTTTTTTTTTAGCTTCGTTTCAAAATCGTGAACCTTACAAGATTGTTGCTAGCTTAACGAATTTGGTTTAAAATTTTATGAAAAATGATTCATCCCTTTAATTTTGTCTCCATTTCTATCACAATGATATGAAATTAATATGATTTCCATCCCTTGTTTGATCCCTTTTACAAATTTAATAATACTCAATAATCCACATATAATTTTTTTTTTTTTAAGCTTCGTTGCAAAATCGTGAACCTTTCAAGAATGTTGCTAGCTTAACAAATTTGGTTTTCAAGAATGTTGCTAGCTTAACAAATTTGGTTTAAAATTTTATGAAAAATGATTCATTCCTTTAATTTTGTCTCCATTTCTATCACAATGATGTAAAATTAGAAGGGGATAAAGATGAGAGAGGAGTATGGAACCGCTTCACATGGGTCTTAGTAACGTCATTGAGGTGGAATTGAGGGGCCTCAATTAGGGGATGTAGCGAGACTGAAATTTTATTTTCTCAAACAATCAAATGTCAATTTATATTTTGTAAATTACCAGCATGTTTTAATAGTTTGACTTAATTCCTATTAAGGCTTCATTTGGGAACAGGCTAATTTAGTAACTTTTTGGCTATTTGGCTAAAATATGAGCTAAAAAAAATTAGTATGTTGGGATGACTTTTTGGCTTTTTACGAAAAGATGTGTAAAAAGTAGAGAGAAGAGAGAATCTTTGACTTTTTAGTATGTGTTATTGGCTTTTTGGCTAATTTAGGCCGCGTTTGGTGACTTACCTTTTTAGCCAAAAAGTCAAAAAGTTATCTTTTTAGCTAAAAAGCCAACAACTCATACCAAAAAGTTAAAGATTCTCTTTTCTCTCTACTTTTTTGCACATCTTTTCGTAATTAGCCAAAAAGTTATCCCAAACATATAAGTTTTTTTTACTTACTTTTTTAGCCAAATAGTCAAAAAGTTATTAAATTAGCCTGTTCCCAAACGAGGCCTTAGTAACTTTTTGACTTTTTGGCTAAAAGAGAAGGTTCCCAAACGAGGCCTAAGTCTTATCAATTCGTTACTAAAAGTTGGTCCTATCAGAATCGTCACTAAAAAGACTTTTTGTGACAATTTTTTGAACCTGTCACTAAAAACTGACAATTAGTGATTTTTTCTATGATTTTTTTTTTAAAAAAAATTGTCACTAAAACTTACAATTAGTGACTTTTTTATGATGAATTTTTTAAACTGTCACTAAAAATTAAGAATTAATAACGTTTTTTATAAGTGTTCAATAAAAAACGCTACTAATTATCACAAGACCAATTGAGTAATAAGTCGACCTGTGAAGCAATAAATCCACCTATTAGGACTTGTATGTATGTCCCCATTTATATTTGGATTTTTTGTTTCTATTAACATATCTATTAGTCCTTACAAATGACAAAAAAAAAAAAATTTGAGCTCATTTTAGATGTTGTTAACAAGGATGCTTTAATTAGAATCATATGTAAGTATTGAGTTAGGCCGGTCATGGAAATAGAGCTCAAGCCTGTTTGTGGGCCAAGCTTAGTGGACTTGCTTTGGAGGGCTCGGGCTAGGCTAGGTCATGAGTTAAAATCTTAAATTCGAGTCTTACCTAATTGGTTTGGCTCAAACGAACTCTCAAGTGGGGCCAATGGGCAGGACAATAGGTCGAGCCAAGATTAAGGAATTTTTTTTTCAATTTTTTCATAAATTTGTATGAGCTCATAGACCGGCCCGATGACGACCCAACAGATCATCTCTCATAATCTAACGGTTTGAGTCGAGCTTCAAACCCAAGGCCTATAGGCCTAGTCTCACTCGGGCCTGCTCACCTCATCCGAGGTTCGGGCTCGGACAAAGTAAAAACCTAGTGGACCAGGCCACGAGCCTTTCTAACTCATATAAAAAAGTCAAAAAATCATTCTCATTTACTCTATAAGGTCAAAGATTTTTTTCCTATTTATTCTATTTTTTACACACTTTTTCATTAAACGTTAAAAGTCATTCATAAAAATACTTAAAAAGTTATTTCCCAAACAGAGCCTAAGTATATTAGTATTTGTCTTTTAACTACCTAACAAAAATGAATCAACATATCTTACTCATAACATTTCCTACTACATAATTAATTTAAAACATCACACAATTAATATTAAGTAATACTCCGAAATTACTTAACAAAAATGTCAAAATTTTTCAATTTCTCTGATTGAATTTTATTACAATTTGTAGTTGGCACATGATACCTCACTAAGACAAGTGTTGAGCTGCATGGAGCCCAAACATACGTTTCAAATTTGAAGGCATGTGAGAGTAATTGCGTAACCAATTTTGTTTTTTAGTTTCTTAGAGGCAAAGGGGTTAAAACGATAGTCAAACTTCTTTTTATGTCACTTTTTTCATATATTTAAAGTCTGAAGATTTAGGGATTGTTTGGGATGATATAAATAAGTGTACTTTTTGACTTTTTACGAAAAAATATGAAATATGGGTTAGATTTGAAATGATGTGGTAGAGAGATGATTGATTTAAATGAGATGATTTGATTTAAATAGGATAGTGACTTTTTGACTTTTTAAATTTTTTATATTATGCCAAACTAGACCTTAGTGGAAAAGGAAAGAGATTTTGAGATTCTATTACATCTCGGATTTAGTGGGAAAGTAAAGAGATTTTGGAATTTATTACATCTCCATTTTATTTCGTGACATTAATGCTTTTATTACATTTTATTAAAAAAATATTATTTATTATCCCAAATTTAAACTCCAAATCCCAAATTTATTGTCATCCTTAGCCCTTCTTATCTCTACATTTATATCTTTTTGTCTTTCCCTCTCATTCCATATCTCTTCTTCTATCCGTTTCAATTTCTTTTTTTTTTTTTTTTTTTTTTTTTAATTTTTTAATTTTTTTTTGTTTTTTGTTTTTGTTTTGAATGATCTGGCTCAAGTAGCGATTGTAAAGTGTGGTACGTGGGTTGTCAAGGAAGAACTAGGGTGTCACATGCACATAGAGAGAGAGAGGGGAATGCAAATGGGGGATAGAGATGACAACCGGACAGATACAAACAAAACAAAACGGGAGTAAACTAATTTTGAAATTGAAAAAAAGAAAATATTAATAAAATTAGAGATAAATAAGTGATTTATTATGATTAATGATTTATAATTAAAGTTATGATGTGAGAGTATGGTGGCCATATAACTTTAAAGTAAACAACCCATTAAGTTGATTTTTAATTGTATAAGCACTACTGCCATGTCATTCTGGTGGTAGAGTATGTACATATTTTCTTTAAAAATATATTTCCTCTTATGATTAGTGAAAGTTAAAATATGTAAGATGAAAAATAGAAGAGTGAAAATGAATGTTAAGCGTAATATTTTAATATTTTAATCTTATTATATTGAAAAACTAAATTATATGTATTATATATATACATATTATATATAATCAAGACAAAATGAGATAGAACGAGGTAGGAGAACAAAATTTATCATCGTCTTACTTTTTCTTCATAACGCAAGAGAAAATTGGTGGGGGCATTGGGAAAGAGAAGTCTGGAGGTCATTTAGGAAGGAAAAAAAGACGAGAAAAATAAGATATAGGAAAGGCGGTAGTAGCGGGAGACATGGAAGTAGCTGGGGGTAAGGAGACAAGAAGAGGAAAAGGTTGCCGGTGGCTACTGTGTTATCATCATCGCTATTTTAGCACTACAATCGCCATACGTCACCACCACTATCTTATCATTAAATAACTATCGTCGTTCTGCTGTCACCTACACTTCACTACACTTGGAAAATATACGTTATGAGAATAAATCTAGTTCACTAATTGTGACACGTTTAATTGCTCATTTAATTACTCAAATGTATCAACGAAATCATTTTATGACTATTAGACCATGACCACAAACATAAAAAGTGTAAAATAAAATTTAAAGAAAATATTAAAATTATATATATATTTTTTATATATCAATACAATTTGATTAAAATCAACATTTTAAATTTCAATAAATACTAAATAACTTTTAAAATTAAAAATGCAATATTTAATTTTTAATATATAATTTTGAATAAATTTACCGAACGACGCCAAAGTTTGAGTTTGAATTTAAAATCAATTAATCCACGAACTGAGTTGAATACAACATCGCACTACTCAACTTAGCTTAATTCATTTACAATCTTAAGTACTCTTTATTTTTCATCAGCTAAAGTATAAAAAAGATACACCATTTATTTCTAACCATTTTATTTATATGTTCTAACTCTACTTTTAATTATACTTATCTATTCACACAAATTATTTACAAAGTTTCCAAAAACTCTCCAAATGTAGCTTGCCTAATACTGTATTTGGTTTATAAATTTGGTCAGAGATGTGGAAATAAAAATAGAAAATGTGAATGAAATATAATTATATTTGTCACATTTTTTCCTTTTTACTTTCTAAATTCCTACTAAATCCATAAACCCAACACAACATAAAACAATTTTAGTAAAATAACTATTATAGTAACTAACTTGCTAAAACAAGTAAAATAAAACAAAATTGATTACAATAATCAACATACTTAATTTAAAGAGTCGGTTACAGTTGAATTAAAAAAAATGGGATAGCAAATACAGAAAGAAAGATTACAAAAATCACCAAGGATCTTCTAGAGTGAAATTTTCCTAAAGTTTCCTAGAGTGCTATATTGTGTGCTTGAGATTTATTGGCAAGTCACATCAGAAAAATTGATGTGACTTGCCAGTAAATCTCAACCATACACTATAGCACTTTAGGAAACTTTAGGAAAAAATCACTCGAGGATCCTTACTCAACAAAAATATGTCATCAATGTGAAAAAGTGAAAAATAGAACGCAAAAAGTACTTACCATAATTTTATTTTATTTTATATTTTTTAAAATTAAAAACTTTTTTTTTTTTGGTGCCTATAAATAGCAAGAGTTAAACCCTACCATAGTCGAGGAAAAACAGAGCACACAGAAGCAATTGTGAATAATATTTGTACAAAATGGGGTAGATTGAGGTACAACAGCTCTGATTCTCTGTCTCTCTCTCTCTCTACTACACAATTACATACATGCTTTTCTATATATATACACACTCACGTATATAAATTTCTGTTTTTGATGATATAATTGCAGTTCAAATTCATCTATTGGGTCTCTTTCAGATTCTCAATTGCTATATTTGCGGTCGGTAAGTAGCTTAGTATCTTGATCTTCGATTATTGATATCTGAATTGATTTGCTGATGATCGAATTTGATTTCATTGATATCTGTTTTGTTGATTTGTATCAATGATTGCGAGAGTTCACACTCACATCCAATAAAATCGGAATGTGTTTGAAATTGCTATAAAATCGGACTTTTATAAGGAAATTCAATTGATTAATCAGAATCTATTTGGAAAATTTAGTTGGTTTTAATTGAATCTCTATCTAGTAATTGATTAACTCTTGTTTTTTTTCAGGATTTTTCATTCTGATGGCATTTCAAGTTTTGAATTGGGTGAAAGTTTTTAATTTAAGTGGATTTTTTTTCTTTTTTTGGTTGAAATGGAACATAAACCTTTTGAATTGGAATCCGCCCTATTGGGAAATTATTTTCCCTCCATATTGTTACTTGATTTATTAACGGTTGAAACGTAACAGTGTATCTTTTGATGGGTTTTTCTGTTTCATGTAAACCTTGAACTGGGCAAAAGTTTTACTTTAAACAGATTTTTTTTGGTTAAATTTGTTGAAATGGATCTTATCCTTCTCAATTAAGTAAGCTTTTTGTGGAATCTGCCATATTGGGAAATTATTTTCCCTCCATTTTGTCGTTACTTGATTTATTAACGATTGAAACGTAACACGTGTATCTTTCTACTGTTTTTTCTGTTTCAAGTAAACCTTTAATTTGCCGAAAGTTTTTGCTTTAAATGGATTTTTTTAATTTGTTGAAATGAATCTTATCCGTTTGAATTAAGTAAGCTTTTTGTGGTATCCGCCTTATTGTGAAATTAAATGCCCTCCGTTTTGTCGCTACTTGCTTCATTATTGGTTGAAAAGCAACACGTGTATCTTTTGATGGATTTTTCTGTTTCAAGAAAACCATAAATTGGGCAAAAGTATTTATTTTAAATGGACTTTTCTATTTTTGTAGAAATGGAATTAATGGTTGAAATGTAACACATGTATCTTTCAACAGATTTTCTTGTCTCAAGTAAACCTTGAATTGGGTGGAAGTATTAATTTAAATGGATTTTGCTTTTTTGTTGAAATCGAACTTGACCTTTTGAATTCCGTAAGGTATCTTTGCCTTATTTGGACCATTTTGTCACTACTCGCTTCATTTACAGTTGAAACTGAACACGTGTATCTTTCAATGGATTTTCCTCTCTCAAGTAAACCTTGAATTGGGCAAAAGTATTTAATTTAAATGGATTTTTCTATTTTGTTGAAATGGAACTTCAACTTTTGAATTGCGTAGGATTTTTTGTGGTATCTACCTTATTGGGAAAATATTTCCCCTCCATTTTGTCGCTACTTGTTTCATTCCCGGTTGAAACATAACACGTGTATATTTCACAAGCTTGGCTTGTTTAAAACTTGAATAAGCCTCTAGGTTTCATTCTGTTGAATGGCCTTGTGTGGTACCTTCTACTTCGGGTTGGTGATGACTCGGTCTATTTTTCAAATCTGAACTTGAATAAACTTTTCCTTTTACGGAAACTTTCATTTCGTTGATCTTTAAGGGCTTGGCTCACCTCCAGACCCCTATCTTGCAGACCTTTCCAAATTGCTTCCTTTTGTATGCCATGTGTCCAATATTTAATCGAAGGGCTCACAATGAAAGATTAACCCATCTTTCCTTCTCTTTGGAACGTTAATTCCTTTATGATCACAACCTCCATTTTATTGTTCTCGTGGTTCACTTTCCACTGATTTATTCTGTAATTTACTTGATTTTGTTCTATAATCACTTCATATTTTTAGGATGTATTTTTACTAACCATTGTTTCAAAATGTGAACACTTCTTTGTATTCTTTAGTATCTTCTTGATGCTCTTTCTTCAATAAAATTTTATTTATCAAAAAAAATATATGTGAACACTTCTAGCAAGGCATTAACCTTGGTGAAGTGAGGATTAAGCTTTTGAGGTATAAGCTTCCTCTTTTGAATTGTGATATATTTATGAAATATATAAGCATATTTAAAGGGGAAAGATAAACTCTTCTACGATTAAATGTTGATAGCAGTCTCTCCGAATTTTAAGATGTCAAGGCCCCATTAAATCACGTTTCTTAAAATCGTTTTAGGGGTATTTAAGTAATGTAGCTGCCTATGCCAAAGTTTGTTTCTGTTGCCAAAGTAATTAAAGAAATTCATCAGTTAAGCCTAGGGATTGGCCCTTTGCTTGCTGTTCGCTTACTCTTATCTAGTTGTTGCATCATAAATCTTGCTTTGAACTGGAGCAAGCTTGCTGAGAAAGAGCTTGTTTTATTTGAACAGTTGGTTGATTCCTTGATTCTAATATGTGCAGAACAGTTCCCTTCTATTGATGAGTGTTGTTTTAGTTGGAAATATTACTTGCACCCACTTACATTTCCTTTGTTCATCACTCTGATTACCTTAGATCACTTATTGCAAATTAGTTAATGAAATTAGCAACACGACCATCTAAGGCAGAATAGTCATCCATTGCTGATTATCAATTTTAATTTTTTTTTTATTCTTTTGGTGCATGCTTCATAGATCCCGGTCATGATGTGAGATTTCATGCTTTCATGCGAATTTTCATTTTTAATTGATTTTGGTTTACTGTTATATGAAGTTTTACAAGATTACAAAAAGCCATTTGAATTGTAACGAGTTACCAATGGTATTTCATATAGTGGAATTTGATCTTGTTGTCTGTGCTACAGTCTACTTCTGAGGGTTCATTGTTAAGAACTTATTTTCCAAGTGGTCTGAAGCACTTCAAACTCTTCCTCAAAGGATGGACTCGAAGAGGGGCTCGAAGAGAAGAAAATCAACTAATCGCAAAGGTCAAGGGAGCAAGGGAGAAATTCATTTACCAGTGGAGATAATCGCTGACATCTTGTGTAGACTTTCTATTGAATCAATCTTGACATGCAGAGTTGTTTGCAAGACGTGGCGTAATGTGACTCGAGATTCTTGTTTTATCAACAAACTTGGCAATTCTCTTTATCAACCTCCCCGACTCATTCTGAAACCACTCATGGAAAACATCAGTGATGATGCTCCAAGGCATCTGATATTACTTGATATTGAAGAACGCAAAACTAGACGGATCCCTTTTGACAGAATGCTTGCCGACCTCGAAATCATGTGCTCTTGCAATGGCTTGCTTTGCATCGCTTCATCTAGAACACTCAATCCTGTGATAATCTACAATCCCATAACAAGAGAGCATTTAATGTTGCCAAGATCGCGTTCGAAGGCTGTTATATCTCATCATGAGGTTAGTTTTGGCTTTGATCCCTCAACCAAAAAGTACAAAGTTTTCCGAGCATACACTGCCCCTTCTTCTAGGGGTAAAGTCAATAATTTTAACATCATTTCTCTTGGAGAAAGATCATGGAGGAAGCTAACTGAGCCTGGGAACATGGTGAAACGGGATGTATATGGGGTCGTATCCTGGGGTGGGGCACTTTACTGGAGAATAGTTAAGGGACCTTTCATTGTGATTGTCCAATTTAATTTAAGCGATGAAAAGTTTCGTATGTTCAATTTCCCAGATTACTTTCCCAGAAACCGTTTTTCTCTGGGCTTGATCGATGTTGGGGGATCTTTGACGCTAGTGCAAAACGCCAACAATGTCGTTGAATTATGGAAATTAACAGAAAATAAGGTCAATGATCTCTCTCTCTCTCTTCAGGACACACATAATATGCACGTGAGGTGGGGTGGCGGACTTTTCTGTGAGTTTGTTTGTCAGATGAACCAGAAGAGTTATTTAGTGCAGGTTGGGTTGAGGAACTGCCAACGACAACAACAGGAACACCTCACTCTGTATTTTCCAGAGACGAGTCAGTACTCGACTCTTGAAATCCTGGGACTTCCTAAGAGCTTCATGCCTATTTGGTTGAAACCCAACCTTATGTCTCTGACTTAAGGCTCGTTCTAGTTCCCGGTAAGTGACTTGTGAAATGTGGTGATGGTTTTAACCTTGTCTTCTCATCGGTTGTCTTATAGACTAGTGTGGTGTTGTCATTTAAACTTTTGTGTTGTCATCATAGTTGTCTTAAATCACAGCTTTTCCTTTCTTTGTTTTGTGAAATAGTGGTAAACTAGAAATGTATAAGTTGAATGCTTTGTTATGAACTTAACTGTCATTACTTTTTTCCTTTCTTACAGATAATTTGGAAAATGGGGTCTTCCTTTTTTCTATTTCGCTGCCATTGTTTGTGGTAGAAATTTTACTTTTGTTTGAATGGTTATTTCAATGATGTTAAATGGCTATGGAAACTGGATTTACCTGTGTAAAATTATTGTGGGTTTGTGATGGAACCTATTAAAGGATTGAAAATATTTTGCTTTTGAAAGGTAAAAACGTTTTTCAGACTAAGGTTTTACTACCACCCCATCACCACTAACATAAGTTTTAAAGTCACAATCAAACAGGAGATTTTTTTTATTTATTTATAGAAAATGTGTTTTTTCCCGAAACAAACGGTGCATATTATTCTATAAGGTAATCATCTCAACTAATCAACAGGTTTATGAGAAGATTTGTACAGTAATTAATTTTAGGATAAATTGCAAATTAAATTCCGTTTCATCTCCTTTTGTTAAGATTTAATAAACCTGTCTAACAATATGGTCCTTTTGTTAAGATTCATTAATAAACCTGTCTAAGGAAAAATGCATCAAGGACATGTAATGTAATTTCACCCATTACCCACCACCACAAAATAAATTAAATTATCCTCTTCCCACTTTGTTTCTTTCTTATTCTCTCCAAATCACTTGGTGTGGAGATTACTATCAAGTGGTTTGGGTGGTTTCTCTGGAGTTTTAGGTAAAACTACTGTGATTACTTTGAGCTTGTTTGTGTTTTCCCTTGCAAGTTATATATTTATGTTTGATAGATTGTTTTTAATTGAATTGGATATGAATGCAATTAATGATTAGATTGTGGGAATTGTATAGGTTGAATGATTGGATATATATTTGGATTATGATGTAGTATAGGAATAAGTTATATTATATAAATAGATGGTGTAAAATTAGAATATTTTAGTGTGTTTAGTTTCAGTTTTTTGAGTTCAATTTTTTAAAAATTGATTTTTTTGTTTTTCGTATTGTTTTGTCTTTACTAAATATTTTTAAAATTTTAAGCAATTTTTTTTACTCTTTAGATGCACATTACGTAGATGTATCTAAATAGTAAAATATTTGTGAAAAAATATTTTTGAAAATTAACAGTTACACCAAAATACGAAAAATATACTGAATTTTCATATTTTTTTGTGTATTTTTTGGTATTTAGTGTATTTTTTAAAGATTTTTTTTCATAAATATTATACTTTTTAAGTGTATTTATGTTAGGTGTATCTAATAATTAAAATAAATTGCTTAAAATATTTAAAAAATTCATTGAAAATATTAAAATACGAAAAATAAAAAAATAGAATTTTCTGAAAACTTTTTTTTGAAAAACTAGAACCAAACAAAGTGATTTTTTTTTATTTTTATTTTTTTCAAAAAAATATGACCCATTTAATCACTCATAGCCACATAAAAATTATTCAAAAATTTATGGCGAATTACACTAACAGTTCCTATAGTTTAGTACTCGTATTACTTTGATTTTCGACTTTTCAATTGTGACACATTTTACCATAAATTTTGAATTTTATTCCTAATAAAGACAATTAAAGATACAATTACTTAATTTCAATGGCAAAATCGTCAATTTGATAAAATATAAACTAATTTGACAAAAATAAATGTCAAAAATATGTTTTTGAATTTTTAAAAATTATTTCTACCTACCAAAGAGAATTTTGTAAAATTGATAAATCTTTTGGACATTTATTTATTTATTTTTATCAGATTAATTGTTTTTATATGTTTAGATGATGATCATGAAATGGGTAGTTGTTAAAATTTTAATGTGTAATCGATATATTTGATATATGAAATATTTTTAGTTTTAATTTTTTTTGATTTAATGGATTTGTTTAATAAGGATATCAAAGTTGTCGTCATATTTAACTTTTGAAAAAATAGAAATTAATTTTTAAAAATTCAAAAATATTTTTTTGACATTTATTTTTGTCAAATTAGTTTATATTTTATCAAATTGATAATTTTGCCATTGAAATTAAGCAATGATATCTTCAATTGTCCTTATTTAGAATAAGATTCTATGGTGGCCGAATAATAGCAGATGCAGATAGGCAGGGTATATTTTCCCTGCCTGTTTATAGTATGAATTCGGCCCTTCCCCTGACGTTTCAGGTGCCAAATAAGTCGACCAGGGGGCCGATTGATAGTTGTAATGGGGGGCCGAGTGAATATGTACATGACAGATCAAGGGCAGGCCCTACCTAGAAGACCAGGAGCGTATATAAATAGAAGAACAACAACCAAAGGGAGGTATGTGAGAATTAGGCCTAGTTTGGGAAGATTAAAAAAAGACAAAAAGACAAAAAGTCAAAAAGTTACTATCCTATTTAAGTCACATCATCTTATTTAAGTCACATCATCTCTCTAACACATCACTTCAAACCCAACCCAAACTCAACCCATATTTCATAAAAAGTCAAAAAGTACACTTATTTAGTCTTCCCAAACTAGCCCTTAGTATGTTTAACTTAAGATACAAGCAATCAAGAGTATATATACTGACTTGTCCGTCGGAGTTCTAATTCCGACACCCCTGACCGGAGTATTCATTCATTTTCAGGTGACTAGCTGAGGATCACGAGCGTCCTCCAAGATCAGAAGAGTATTTCCAAACCACTATCCCCACAATTGGCGCCGTCTGTGGGAATACTCAAATACATCCATGGCGGGCGTAACGGAAGACCCTCCGATAGTCACTGACGAAACCACACAGAGAGACGATCTCACTCCGACAAACATGCTTGGACCGGAGACTATCACCGCAAGACACGCCTTGAACTTCGCCTCACCTTCGACTTCAGCACATGAGACAATGCAAGTGATTATGGAACAAGCAAAGAAAAATGAACAGAGGTTGGAGAACATGATCGCTGAGAACGAACGTCTCTGTCAGGATTTGGCCTTGGAAGTGGCGAAGTCCAAACAAGCTGTACGCCAAGATCCAGAACAACCTCTGAGGGCAGGTGGTCGACGACCTCAAGCCCGACAACAAAACACTGATAGCGACTCCGGCTCATTATCCCCGGAGCCTAAGAAGAAGGGACGACCCGAAACTACCAGTTCCTCTGAAGAGAGTCCACGTATAAGGCATAAGCGAAGAAGAAACAATTCAGATGAAGAAGACCAGCATGATCCCTTTGTACGACGGATTACAAGGGCAGTGCTACCTAAGAAATTCAAAACACCGTCATTCACCTTGTACGACAGTAAATCAGACCCCACTGAGCACATCCGCCATTACAAGCAAGCCATGACGCTGCATGCAAACGACGAGGCTTTCATGTGCAGAATATTTCCGAGCAGTTTAGGACCACTGGCTATCAGGTGGTATTATAAACTAGAGCCGGCTTCGATCAAGAGCTTCCACCAACTCCAAAAATCCTTCAGGGCAAGGTTTATCACTAATGAGGTCCAGCCAAAGCAAGACAATTCCCTCTGGGCAATGCAGATTCAACCGGAGGAAACCTTTCGTGCGTATTCAGCGCGGTATTGGGAGTGTTTTAATCTGGTAGATAATGCTTGCAATGACTCCATGGCCATTACTGCCTTCAAGATGGGGTTGCATCCCAACAGTGCCCTACGCAGCTCTTTAACCAGACGGCCCCCCAAAACAGTCTGGTCGTTGATGAAGAAAGTTAAGGAATACTATAAAGTGGAAGATGATGCCTTGTGGGTTAAAGCCGAAAACGTGGCCAACAAGACGGCTTCTTCTGAAATTGCTCAGCCATTAAATTTTGTACCACCTCAGAACCCTGAACCACGGCATCGGGCTAAACGAGACAAGAGACGGGATACTCGCCGATCAAGCGACCAATGCTCCCACCGAGTAAATGAACAACTACAAGTCGATAGTAGGCACACAAGGCGCGCCGATAAGAAATATACGGAGTTGTTAGAGCTGATCAGCGCGGTTATGTCCAAAATCCAACACCTTCCGTTCTTCAAATGGTCGTCGAAAATGGTGGGACCTCCCGACACGCGAAGACGGGATAAGCGGTGCGAGTATCACAAGGATCATGGCCATGATACTGAGAGTTGTTATGCATTGAAGGACCACCTGAAGGAATTGGTACAAGATGATCGGTTACAACAGTACGTCCGAAAAGGCAACTCAACCAAAACAATAGCCTTAAGACAGGATTCACCTCCACTCGGCGTGATCCACATGATATACAGCCTGCCAATGTCATCCGCAGTGCATACGATTCAGTCAAATCCCGACCCTCAAAATCAACTCACTCTGACTAAATGGCCCCATGAAGCTACGAGCATTGCTTTTGATGATTCAGATTTGGCCGGAGTGACACTTCCCCACATTAATCCCTTGGTAATCGAGTTACGCGTAAACCGATTCATTGTTGAGAACGTACTCATTGACCCAAGGAGCACATCGAAAGTTATGTATTACAAGACATTCACCAAACTCGACTTCTCCAAATCGGATCTTTCTCCGGCTCCTTATCCACTATTCGGCTTCAATGCCAATCTAGAATACCCGTTGGGGAAAATCACACTACCCGTTCGAGCAGGCCTCCGAATAGTGGATGTGAAATTCTTGGTCGTCAAGCGGCCATCACCGTATAATCTCATCATGGGGTATCCTGGTTGCATACTATGCAGGCTGTGCCAAGCACCTATCATCAACTGCTACGCTTCCCGACAGAACGCGACATTGAGCAAATCCGAGGCTCCTAGAAATCGGCACAAGCATGTTTATAATCTCATCATGGGGCGAACTTGGTTGCATACCATGCAGGCCATGCCAAGCACCTATCATCAGCTATTACGCTTCCCGATAGAACGCGACATTGAGCAAATCCATGGCTCCCAGAAATCCGCACAAGCATGTTATCTCCTTGCTGGAAAGACGCTAAAAGAGTTGCAAGTGAATTCTATTAAGGTGTCAGATCGAGAGAGCCTCAACGATATTGGGCGGCTCCCAAGTGAAAAGGCCACAGAAGCCCTAGATCGAGTTGAGATTGACGGAAACCCAGATAGGTTCTTCATGGTCGGCGCCTCCCTGAATCAAGTCGACAGACAATAGC